GTCACAGGAGGGCATAAACATCTGACTCGGGTGCTGTGAGGCCTCTGAGCTTCTGCCCACCAGGGCTGGCTGGACACCCTCAGCCTCCTTTCTAGAGGAGAAAGGGCCCTGCTGGGGAGAGAATGAGTCCTCTGGATGGTGGAGGCTCCAGGGAGGGGAAGCCTGGCAGGTCACTCTCCTGCAATTCCCCCCCACCCCCACTCTTCCCACCCTGCACCCAGGCCAAGAATGGCCCCCGCAGCCACCACCACCACCACCACCACCCACCACCACTACCGCAGGGGTAGCCTCAGGGGTCTGAAAAGAGAGAGACCCTGTCCCATGCATCCAGCCTGGCCCCAGGAGGGCCAGGCTATAGGATTTGGAGCCTGGGCTGATCTGTCAGCTGTGTGATGACCTGGATGTCTCGAGCCCTGTCTTCAGGATGTCAGGAGTGAGCAATCCTGGGACTCAGGGAAAGCACTTAGGACACACCTGGAGCTGTGGGCCCCTGAACTAGCTTGTGGAGCTGAGAGCGGTAGGCTTGGCCAGAATTGACACGTGGCCCTGTTCCTTCTAAATGGCCCACCTGCCAGGGTACCAAGGGCCTCCGAGACCAGGCAGCCAGGACACAGCCAGCCCTGCCTAAGCTCCAAGGCACAGGAGGGCCAGAGAGTTCCAGCTCAGCTGCTGCACCTGCCCAGTTAAGTTGCCCAGAGGACATCTTGGTCCAGGGCCAGGAGGAATATGACAAGAGCTTCCAGAGGAGGCTGAAGGATGTGGCCAGACAGCTCTCCCTAGGACAGGAATCTTCTCTTCCCACCTGTCCCACCCTTCCCATCTTCCCTCTCACCCGAGGCAATCCTGGGACCTTCCCCACTCCCCCACTGCAGCAGCTCAGAGGCGTCACTAGTCTGGAATGCACTTTCCATTCTCCTCCCCCTTTCCCTCCCTCTCTTCCTCCTCTTCTCCCCTCCCCTCCTCCTCCCCTTCACACACCTGACCCAGCCAGGCCAGACCCCAGAACCTGGTACGCCTGGCACCTCCTGCCCCCAACCCCCACCCCTGATGGAGAGGAAGGAGACGGATTTCCTGGAAACTCACTCCCAGGCCTTCACCATTCCCCCAGCCAACTAGAGGGGACAGACTTGCTCAGCGGGCAGGGTCAGAGGGCCACCAGCTGGTAGCCCAGAGCCCAGCTCCAGCATCCTCATTGTCCTCTCTTGTCTGGCTGAGCTCCTGCCCCTGGGGGCCTCCCTCAAGGTGGGGCAGCAGGACTGAGGGTCCCTCCTGCTATCTCTACAGGGATTCCTCCAGAGGGTGAATTCTGTGGCTCTGGGCCCTCTACTTGGCAGTGAGTGTGGCCAAAGTTCAGTGAGGGTTGCCCTCCCCTGGCCTCAGGTGGGTTGCCACGATGGGTCAGCAAGAGAAATACCCTGGACATCCCTGGACCACATCTCCCACAACACGAAGTAAGGCCCACCTGCCACTCACCCTGAGTGGGGCCTCTACCTATACACCTGAGAGCTCCCACACTCCATTCCTGTCCCCTACCCCACCCAGCACCAGGGCTCTGCAGCTTGGTGGCCCTATACCTGTGAAGGTCTCGCCTAGCCTTGGGACCCTCAAAGATAGTCCCTGACTTCCTGCCTGCCCCAGGACCAACCCAGACTGAGCCCCCCAACCCCTACTTTATTTCACACAGCTCTGGAGCTGTCCTGCTGCCCCATTGTCCTGCTGGCCTTGGTGGGGCTATGGACTGCAGGACAGATATAGCCAGGCTTCCTGCCAAAAAGAAAAGAAAAACCCTCCAAGGAGGCTCACTGAGGAGAGGCCTACACCCCACCTGCAGCCCAGACCCTGTGGTCCAGACTCCACAGCTGATACATGTAGCACCTGCTGGGCTTCTGGCACCAGCCCTTCTGTGAGTCCCATTAACCCCACACTCGATTCCCACCCTGGAGGAGGAGGTAAGGGTGAATGGCCCCATGACAGCCTTTGCTGGTCACAGGGCAGAGGAAGAGAGACAGGCCATGACCTCTCACCCTATGCTGCCTCTGCCAAGCCCCAGGCTCCCCAGGGAAATCTCAGGAGGTGTGGCTGTCCTGAAAAGGAGCCTTAGCCAGGTCCAGGGTTGGTGCTGGGCCCATAAACAGACTTTTATAGCTCAGGACAGGCAAGGCAGGCACAGCTGTGGGGAAGGCCCAGACCTAGCTCCTTGGGGGCCTCTGTGCCATGTGCCCATGAGCTCCCCTCTGAGCCCAGCATCTTCTTCTGTACAATGGGCCTTATAGTGGATGTGGTGAGTGGATTCGTGGGACAGAGCCTCAGGGCACTGGGCACCAGTCCAGGTGGGCTGCTGCTCTGTGGGGCTGAGCAGAGGCTACCACTTCCCTGAAGGTGAGCTAGAAGGGACAAGGAGACATCAAGGTCACACTAGTCCCTTTGCCTGGCAGCTCCCCGAGGGCCTACCGAAGGACTAAAGGAGTGGGTAGGCGGGTAGGGACCAGAGGGGTGCCACCTCACCTCCAAGGACATCAGGGTCACCTTTGTAGATAGCTCACTTTGGAGCCCCTCCACATCAGAGAGAGGGCCAGTTACCCTCTCTCATCATGAAAACATCCCTCCTGGTCCTAGGTCACACTGTGGGAGACTGGGCACAGGTGGCAGCAGGACCCACCTCTGAAGAGGACACTGCTGCACACCATGAAGACAGCATCTGACTCCATGTGGCCAAGAGTCAAGCAGCACCTGGGAACTCTCACTGAGAACTTAGGGGTCCAGGACTCAGTACAGGGGAAGGCAGGGACACAAGGACAGCTCTCCAGGCAAGAGGGCTGCCATGCTGAGCCTTAGGCTCCACAGCACACACTAAGGAAAGAAAGCTCTGGTCATGATGGGTCGTTATGTCTGGCAGTAGCTCTGAGTCTGAGCTTTCTCTGGTCAGACTCTCTGTAAGCATGCTATGAGCACAATCTCACTTCACATTAAAACCTAACTCCAAGAAGCAAAAAGAATTAAGATGTGTTATGCACTCATACCAACTCCCCACGATGAATGTAACCATACACCACAAATATGTACTAATAAACATTTAAATAAGAGCAACTACTCCTGTTCCTATTTTATATGTGGGACCATCAAGGCTCAGAGAAGTTAAGGAACTTGGCTACTGCCACACAGCTAAGAAGAATGAGAATCTGAGGTTGAGATGAGTTTATAATCTTGTGCTTCAAGCTGCACACCTCAGGCTGGCCTTGGTGGGGCTATGGACTGCAAGACAGATACAGCCAGGCTCCCTGCCAAAGGTCCTCCTGAAAGACACCAGCCAGATTTCTCCATTGAAATCCACCAGGAGGTAAGTGAGGGGCTGCTGGTATAAACTATCAGGGAAGTCTCTAGTGGGATGACAGGGCTCTGTCCTAGGGGGAGCCTAATCCCAGAGCACCCTCCTGCTAGGAGCAAAATCGGGAGATGGCGCTTGGGGGAAATAACCCAGTGATCTCTGCCTGGCAGAGTGAAAACTCCCCTGTATGTACCTGTAGGATCTCTGTTGAGTAGGTCCTATGCAGAGCTCCCGAGGGCCCTGGTGGCCCATGGCACACATGGCCTCTGTCCATAGGTCCAAAGTAGGAGACTGAGGGCCTCCATATCCTTGGGGTGCAAGTCAGAACCAGATTAGATGAGCTTCAAAGGGCGAGGGATCCTCTGACCAGTGGGTCCCAGAAGTGGGCAGAGTCAGACTCCAGCCTCCTAATTTGGTCACATCCCTAGAGACAAGACTGGAATGGAGGAGGTCAGCTTGGTGGGGGCCCTTGGGGAGGGCAGGGGTGCCCGGAGCTCAGAGGCAGCCAGATTCCTGGGGGCTGGGCACAGCAGCCTGGGATGGTCAGGACATCAGGTACAGATAAGACCCCCTAACCCCATTCCCAGGTGAGAGACCCCTAACCCATGCCTGCATGGACCTTGCTGCCCAGTGTAGCCATGGGGGCCAGGAGGGAATTGCCCAGCCTCAGCATGAGTCACCATGGTCTGGCTGATTCACAGATCTGGGGGAGGTGAGACTGAACTGTCCACCGTCTGGAGGCTCTGGCCAAGGTCATCATCCTGGCTGGGTCTGTGGTGGGCCCTGCCCAGCTGCTTCCAGCCAGTGATGATCTCATCTTACCACCCGACTTGGCTGGTGGTCACGCCCATTTACAGATAGGAAAGCTGAGGCTGAAGGGTTCAGGTGGGAAGCCATATAGGGCAGTGCCGGAGACAGAGCTGGGGCAGGCTTAGCCAAGTCACTGTGCCTTGAGGGGCCGGCAGAGGGGGAGTCCATGGAGACTGCCTGTTTCTGGACCCAGGGGAGCATCTGTCCTCTCCAGTCCCTTGGCCAGAGCCTGAATCCAGGAAATGAACTCTGGGGAGCTGACACCAGCTGTAAGGGCATGTGGGGGGCTCAGAGCCTCGGGAATGGGAGGACCAATGGGGCCATGAGAGTTCCTAAAGGAATGAAGGCAGAGAGGCACCTGGCCTGCCAGGAGCAAAGGCCAGAGCAGCATGGAGCCAGCCAGCATGCTCAGGCTAAATCCTGGCCTCCTTGCCTCACCTGCAGAGATTGGACCTGTGGCCCCAGCTGAGCAGGGGGCCTAAGACTGAGGGCCTTGGTTTCCTTTTCTGTCCCTTCCATGAGCAACAGCATGGCCTCCTACCTGGTCTGCAGAGTGGCCACAGGGTAGATATGGGCTGGAGCAGGCATGAGATGAGGAGCCAATGTTCTGCAGGGAGAGGCTTCCATCTGTGACTCGGACAATGGCCCTAAGCTTTACATTTAAGAATGGCTAAAATAGGGGCTAGGGATTTAGCTCAGTGGTTCTGCTGCCTGCCTCATAAGCGCAAGGTCCTGAGTTCCCAGTACCCCCTCCCCCAAAAAAGAATGGCTAAAATGATAAATTTTGTGTTGTATGCATTTTACCACAACAAAAAGAAAAACCCTATTCAGGAATGACTGCACACAAGAACTCCAGGCCAGAGAGTGTTCTTCACTGCACATTTATTAGCTCATGCACACCAGGAGCGGCCAGGGGCAGTGTGCAGCCACAGAGTCCATGGGCACAAGCGGGATGGGCAAGGGCAGGGGCTGGTCACCAGCAGGGTGGCCTCCTTGGTCACAGCAGGGACAAGATGGGATGGCTCTTGGGCTCTCAGGCTCTGTGCCATCGCCAGATGAGACACATCTAGGGGACAGGTCTATGGATGGTTTGGGGTGGGGCCAGGACAGGCTTCCCTCACATCCAGGGAATGGAGGCCAGGTAAGGAACACATGGTCTTCCTGGGCCAGGGCTCAGATTCATACAGGCATATCTGTGGGGACTCAACAGGAACCTTGATTCCTACAGCTTTTCCAGAATGCTCAGAAAGCCCAGCTCTCCCTCAAGGTCCCCAAGAGGCCACTTGGCAGAGAAGCAGCCAGACACTGTCTGGCTCCCCTGACCCCACAAGAAGGGGCCCCAGTGCAGTGCTCACTGGACTTTGGAAAGTCCCAAACTTAATGGCTCCCTGCCCATTCCAGTGAGGGGACTCGGGCTCTGCCAACTGCCCCAAGTACCAGGTAGTGTGAAGCTCACCCAGGGGTGGGCTCTTCCAATCTCAGCCAGGGACAACTCCTCAAACCTTCCAGGCTCACATGGGCCCCATCCCAGGTCACCATGTCAGGAGCCAGGGATCCAACCAGTGTCCCCTGAGGGCCCTGTGGGAGGAGGGGCAGGGGAAGGCCTAGGCTCTCTTTTCTCACTTCCATCTCTGCCTCCAGCCTGAGTGTCCCTTTGGGCACACCCCATCTGGTGAGATTTGTCTCACAGTGGGCCTAGGCCTGGAGAACCTGACCCCATATGTCCCCCAGAGACTTGAAGGGGCTGGGGTGGCAGGAGGGGAACAGGGGAGGGAAGCTGGCCTATCGCCTCCTTGGTCTTGGGAGATCTTGTTTTCTTGCCCTTTGTTTTTGAAATGCACAAACTGATTACTTATTCCACAAAGAGTCCAAAGGGAAGGGAGGCCATGCTGGGTCGCCAACCCCACCAACCACCTCATGAGGTTCCCAGCCCGGACATGTGGTGAGCAACAGCAGCTCAGACAGTGAGGGAGATGAAGCTGTTATAGCGCTGAATGTTTCTCTTGAGTATCTCAGAGCAGGGCCCCAGCACACGCTCAAAGCGTGGCCGGTCCAGCTTGACACACTTGAGGGGTCCCCGGGCCACCACAGTGGCCGCCCGAGGCCGGTTCAGCAGCAACGCGATCTCCCCTGGGGACAAAGAAAGCACAGTCAGGGGCTCCGCGTGATTTGGGGCTCTTAGAAACCACTTTCCTCAGGGCCAATACCACCAGGCAAATTTGAATTTCAAATATTGTACACAAAATTTTTTTCTGTTAAGTATGTCCAGTCAAATATTTGATACATATTTATATAAACTATCAAAACATTCATGGTTATCTGAAACTCAAATTCAGCTAGGTATTGTCCTGCAGCTACAGGAGCAACAGGTACATGGTAGGCAGCCCAGGGGTGATCAGGACTCCCCCCACACTTCAGGCATGCTGGCAATGGGTGACCCCTGCATCCCTCCCTCCCCTGAGCCTGTCCACCCAAGGTCATGCCCTCTCAGCAGCTACAGATGGGGCCAGTTGATCCTGGGATCCCAGGACCTGGACCTCCATATAAGGTGACATGGGCCGGGGCCTCCAGTCACAGCCACTTTGCAGTTCAGCCCAATCCCCCGGGCCTCACCCAAAGGCCTCAGGGACCCCTGTGCAGTGCCCATTCAGGACCCGAAAGAGAGAGAGAGGGACCTCAACTCACCAAAGTAGTCAGATGGCCCGAGTCGGCCCACCTCCACGTACTCCTCATTGGGGGATCGGCGCTGGAGGACCGAGGCAGTGCCCTGGGAAGAAGGGGAGTGGGTGTCACCTGTGGGGGGCTCATGCTGAGGTCACTTGTGGGGGGTCACCCCTGCCTGGCTCCTTTCTCCTGTGTGACTCCAACACTTCATTCCTCTTGGACACTGGCCGTGGATCTGAGCACCACAAGGCCTGAGCGCCTGCCCAGAGACCAGGCTGAATCCTGTTTCCATGGAGACACATGACAGCCCTCCCCCCTCCAGGAGTCCTAAAGCACCCTGTGTGCTTGCCCTGGCCATCCTGAGGTGGCTGGGAAGCCCCAGGATGATCCCTAGGATCAGTGCTTGGTCCTGGCTGCTTGAAGCTGACCTTGGATGGAAGCTCAAGGACGGGGAGCTGCGGGCAGGGAGGACATGGTCTCAGGGTCACACACCTGCCAGCAAGGTGGCCCCTCCTCAACCCAGAGTAGGGGAGCGGGGTCTGCAGACATCGCCAGCTCAATGATTAACGCAGAGGCTGTGGGCAGAATGCCACAGGCCCTGTGGGACGCAGCACACAACACAGGCTCAGTGAGGGCGGCCAGGACGGCCGGGCAGCCAAGTCTCCCAGACTCCATGTGCCCCTTGGCTGGGCTGGGAGCAAGGCCTGTCCTGGAATCTGGCCTGAGCCCTGGCCCCAGACCCACCTGGCTGCTGATCACTTTGGAAAGCCCATTGTGTCCAGAGAGGTTCCTCCCCTGCGGCCCATAGCGCTCTGGGGAAGGGTACAAGGGGCTTCTAGCCAGCATGGTGACTCACGCCTATACCAGCGCCCCAGGAAGCTAGGGCTGGAGGACTACAAGTTTGAGTCCAGTCTGGGCAATTTAGCAACTTAGGCTGTCTCAAAATAAAAAATGGCTGAGGATACAGCTCAAAGTGAAGGCCCCAGGACCATCAAAAAGAAACCATGAGCTTTCTACGCTGCCCCATGGGAACAGTGGTTTTTAACACTAAGCTCAGCCAGCAGTGTAGCCAGCCCAGTGCGGGCTGATCAGATCCTTCTGTGAGCCTCTCACACACTGTGACCTAACCTTTGTCAAGTTCCACAGCTGGGGAGACTGAGGCTCATACCGCTTGCAGGGCCACCTCTCCTCACCTGGACGGCCCAGCGGCTGGGGCTCTGAGTGAGTTGGTGTAAACAGCACCTCATTTCAAAGTGGGCTTGGCTCACCCCAGCTCACCCCACCTAGCTGGCTGGCTGTGTCAATTAATGAGTAACTCCCACCCCTCCACGGTCTGGGAGACGGGTCAGGGTGCCCACCGTGCCCAGAATCCGTCAGCATCCATTGGCAGCCCCAAAAAGCTGGACTCCCACTGGGCTCTGGGCCTCTATGTGTTTACAAATTTAGCCCATGGGGTGGAGGGTGATATGGAAACATCAGACTGACCCCTGGAGTGCCCACGGTGAAGGCAGGGAGGTGGGGAGTGCACCCTCACCCCAGCCCCTTGCACGGCTCTGCCTGCCCCGGCTGCTCTGGCCCTGGCTGGCCAGGTGCCAGGCACAGGGTGGGCTCCTGGCAGTGCGGGGGTAACCTTGGCCTACTTCTCCCAGGTGGGGACTCTGGAAGGTGGCCTGGACTTGGGCTTCCTGCTGCTCCAAGAACTGACAACTTAAACCGTGGAGAGATTATTTGGGCCAAGGGCAGATCAGGCTGTGAGGTCTTAAGACCCCATGGCCCTGACCCAAGTGTCTTCCACATTCATCCTTCCTCTTTCAAATGCGGGTCTGCATCTTTCACGCCATTTTTAACAATTTTCTGAGTTACAATTGGAATTTTTTGCCAGGGACCAGAAACTTCTAGTTTATAGAATCACTTTGTAAAACAATAGCTAGAAACAATGGTCATATGCATCTAACCCCAGGCATAGAATGCCTAACTTGAGACTGTTAAAGGTTAATGAGGACAAGGGAAGACAGGCTAGAAGGCTTCAGGGCTGGCTAATGCCACAGCCCAGGACTTCGCCCTCCTTCAGTGGGACCTCAGCAGGGTGCTCAGCCCTTAATCAGGTGCCTCATGGTAGCAGAGAGGCTGCCAGAGTTCCAGGAGTCACCACATGCCCCCTATACACACACACACCATCAGCAGGAAAAAAAAGCCCACTTCTTTCTCTTCAATACAAATGCCTTCTGGGAGCTTCCAGAAATGTCCTCTCCAGAGTAGACCTTTTAGTCCCAGAACTGCCAAGAGAGGAGATGGAATCAAAGTGACAACTTACCTCTCACCCTTCTGGGGAGGAAGCTGAGGGTAGGGGTTCTGAGTGACAGGAAGAGGCAAGAGTGGGGTTGGGCACAACACCACCGAGCTGGCTGCGCTGACTGTTAACCTATGTGTTCACTGTCCTGCCACTGATCACGACTGCCGTGGGCTTGAGGCAAGGCTGCAAGCTCAGCACCAGGCCATCAACTGCAATCCATCCCAGAGCCCTTCTGCAGGACATACTGTTCACCCAGCGTTGTCCTCATTCCTGCACTGCCCAGCAAGCGCCGGCCTCCTCTCCCATCACTCAGCTGCAGGAACATAGGGCTCCTGGTAGGGTCTGCTCCAGCACCCTGTGGCTTTTGTGGGGCCCCCAGCTAGCTTGTCACGAGGATGTGCTCTGGATAGTCATCTACCCTGTGGAGTGGTGCCGACCCCTACTGCACGACCATGCTGGGCTGGAAGGTTGCCAACAATACACACTGGTCTCCAAGGAGGGGTCTTCCCTCCCTTAGAGTTTGTGTCTTGCTGAGTCATTGCTGAAATGTCCTGGGTGGCCACGTGGCAAGGCAAGGGGCACATTCCAGCTAGCTCGGGTCCTCCCTGCTGGAAGGGCTGCTGCAGAGGGCTGTGAGGCTATGGGGCCACACTCAGGTCCCCAGCAGGCAGAAGCTGACCCTCCCACCCTCCTCTGGCCCTCTCCAACAGGGCTGCACCTTAAGCTCCTGGAGCTGGGAGATGTGGCAGCTGCCTGGGGCAGGAGAGGCCAGGTCACTGAAGAACACAGGAGTTGCCCTGGTCCATGCAAACCCTCAGCTTCACATGACAGCAGCCACACAGCCAGCCCCCTGGCCTCCAGAGTGACCTCTGTATCCACCTGTACCCTCCACCACCCCATCTGGTTTGTGAGCCTGGGACAGTCACAGAACCTCCCAAGCAAGGTGCACAGATGGGAATAAAGTGTCCACATACTAAGTATTTGGCCAAAGAAACTGTAAAGAGCACAGCTAGCCGTCCCTGAAGCCCTGCCCCTCCCGCAGTTGACAGTGTGGCTGGCAGAAATTGGCCTATAATGGCAACTGAAGCCAGTGGAGCTGGTCTAAGACAGGACATCCACCATGTGCATTAAACACTGTCACCCCTGGCTGTCCACGACAGGTGTGGGGTTACATACAACCCTATTTCCTTACAACTATTTTGATTTTTTAAAAAACTTTTCTCCAACATTAAAAACTAAACACAACTTTCATAAGAAAGGAACCCACATGATCATGGTAGAACCCACCCATGAATGGATGGTTCTCCTGCAATTCCTTCCCATGACACCTGTGGACCTAGCCATCACCTTAGATGCTTGGGCTCCAAGGGCCTCTGATTGAGTGGTCAGACCAGAGCTGGTAGGGAGCTGGATCCCTGCCTTGGGGGCCACTGCTCCAGAAGAGACATTGCCACGGGCATGATAGCTGCCTGGCCTCAGCCCATTTCCAGATGCTGGCCTTCAATGCCTATCCCTTCCACTTGCTCCAAAAGACCTGCTGAGCAGCAGCCACATGCCAGTCGTGGCTCTTGAATTGGGAACACGGCAGATGCGTTCCTGTCCTCTTGGAGTCAGCAACAGCAAGGAAGAAGACCACCAAGCCACAGGCAAGGACACCAAGAGTGCAGAGGAAGTTAGGGAGCTTCCATCAAGGCTGGGCCACTGACCAAGCGACTGGGAGGACAAGAAGAACCACAGGGGACAAGGGAGCCTCCCAGCCTGAGCTAGCAAGGGGAGTTGCAGACAGGCTGGGGCAGGAGTGGGTAGGGGACTAGCATTCTGGAGGGGAGAGGGCAGTGGCAGGGTACGTTTAGTGTTGGGCTGTGGCCTGGGGCTCAGCCCAGCCCAAGCCCAGCAGCACCTGAGACAATCGAGGCCACTGAGAAAGCAGGGGACTTGGAGCCATTCCCAAAGGACCATCACATAGCAGGCAGCAAGATCTCAGGACTATAGGAGCAGCCAGCCAGACACACAGGCTGAATCCACCCACATGAAGCCCATGATCAGGAAAACTATGTGCCGTTTTCAAGAAGTGTTTGTTAAAAGAAACTCTGTGTCACGACCATACCTGGACACAGGTTTCACTCTACCTGAGAGCAGAGAAAAGGCACAAACGTGACAGGGCTGGTGCTGGAAAGGGCTGACAACACACGAGGACCTGGAGTCCGGTGCCCCCAACTCTGCGCCACAGGCACATGCTGAGCACAAGCCTGGCTCTCCAAGGGCCTCGGCTTCATCCAGAGGCCAGGACAGGGCCTGAGACCCAAGGGCCAGCCTCATGGGGCAGTGACCATGAGAGGAGACAGGGAGGTGGGTGGCCATCAGAGCCTTGTGCCCAGGGTCATGGTTCTCACAGCTAATTCTCACCTCTAACAAACTCCTCAAAGCCTGGAAAACTCAGATTCAACCTAACACTGTCACGTTTCACCTCTGTATGTTTCTGTATTTAAGCCAGAGCAAAAATCTAATGTGGGAGTGCATTTGTAGGCACACACTCACATGCACACACACACACACACACACACACACACACACACACACACGCAGAGCACTAAACCCACCCAGGCCTACAGGACATTGCTGGGAAGCTCTGTGGTTTCCACTCTTTTCCCTTCTTTCTTTCCTTCCTCCCTCCCCTCCTTCCTTCTTTCCCTCCTTTTTTTGGTACTAAAGATGGAACCCAGGGCCTTCACACTGAACTGCATCCCTAGCCCTTTTTCTAATGTTTTATTCTAAAATAGGGTCTCATTAAGTCATTAAGTTGCCCAGGC